CCATGTGTTTGGTGAAGATAATTCAGAGTTGTGAGACAGCCAACTCCCCCGGCCTGGAGCAGTCCCTAGAAATACAGGGGAGGTGCAGACACCCACAGACGCGAAGAACTGGCTAAATAAATGAACACACACGAGTACATTATTGCCTTTATGCACAGATAGCCCTCACACGGATGTATCTTGGAGATTTTGTAATGGGGTGGGGGAGGCAGAGCTCATGCCAAGGTTGTAATAGGGAAGGCCACGGCTTCATCTTCAAGGATTTTTCCCCGTCCACTGTATAGAAGGTGCTTGTGTTTCAGAGCTGGAGTCTATATCATGGGACAAACCACACACTTATTTACCTCTTAGAGCAGTAGGAGATGGAGCTCAGAACTGTCAACTACTCAGGCTGGTACCTGTCACCGTTGGTCTACATTGAACTGGAGAGCAAACAGCTTAAGAGCAAGCTGTAGGGTACTTTTCTTTTGCATAATACATAAGGCATTATTTAGTGTCCCCTGCTCTCAACTGGCTGAGACCCCTTGCCTATCTCCAGTGACTGAGGAGGGTTTAAGACTCAGTATGGTCCACTCTACTCATTTGTGCTGTCTGTCCATCTATCTATGTATCATCTAAGCTATCTCTCTCTCTCTCTCTCTCTCTCTCTCTCTCTTTTTTGCCAGTACTGGGGCTTGAACTCAGGGATTGCGTGCTGTCCCCTGGATTTTTCACTCAAGCCTGGCCCTCGACCACTGTGAGTCATAGCTCTACTTCTGCTTTTTTGGTAGTTAGTTGGAGATAAGAGTCTTCCAGGCTTTCCTGCCCTGGCTGGCTTCAAACCGAAACCTCCTATCTCAGACTCTTTAAGTAGTTATGTTTGCAGGTGAGCCTGCAAATGCGGTGCCTGGCTCATTTTTGATTGTCTTAAACTCCCTTATCCCAGTCTGACCCTCCTGAGTGTTGGAATTACAGGCGTGTGCCACCATGCTTGGCCTTTGCTAATTTATTTTCCTGGACAATTTTAACAGCTTCCTGACTAGTCTTACAGTTGCTCCCACCCATTGCCCATTCCACGCTGTCCTCAATGCTGATGTCAGAACGAGTCTGCTTCAAGTGGCAATCTGATGATTACTCTCTCCATCCCCAAACCCACAGGCCCTAGTGCTCTACAGTCCAACCCCATACCACTACACCTCTCTCGTACAGATGTTCTCCAGACACATGGCTGTCCCAGAACCGGTGCACCTGCTGGGTCCTCCACCTGGAATCAACATCCCTAGAGACCAGCAGAGCTCCCTGCTCACCTCCTAGTCTTTGATCAATGTCAGCTTCTCTAGCAAGATTTCTGGGACCACTCTACTTAAAATGCCACTGAGGAAAGTACTTCTTTCCTCAGAATCTTCCCTGTGGCACCTTACCTGTTTATTTCAAGTCAGAGACCTCTGCACAGACTATAATCAAGATGGGATTCTGTCACTGCCTCTCACCACTGCAGTTTCCCCAACTTCTAGCAGGGGATCAGGCATCTGATAATAGATAACTGGATAAACGGAAAGGACTGGAGCTGATCTGGTTGTCCTGGGCTGACAGTGAGACTGAGACTTTGGCCTGCTTCCCTGCTGGGCTGGGACAATGTAGAGATGTGCATGCCTGGTAAGGAATGAAAAGGAGAAGCAAGGTTCCCAAGGTGGCTTAGTGGTAGAGTGCTTGCCTAGCGTGCGTAAAGCGCTGGGTTCGATTCCACATAAACAGAAAATGCTGGAAGTGGTGCTGTGGCTCAAGTGGTAGAGTGTTAGCCTTGAGCAAAAGAAGCTCAGGGACAGAAAGGGAGAAGTGATTCTTCAGGGCTTGTGTAACTTGTTTCAGACATTTTCTCAGCTTTTATAGATATACATATAGACATACAAAGCACATCAACTTGCCAGGTGCTGGTGGCTCACGCCTGTAATCTTAGCTGCTCAGGAGGCTAAGATCTGAGGATCACAGTTCAAAGCCATCCTGGGCTGGAAAGTCTAGGAGATTCTCACCTCTCAGTAAACATCAAAAAACAAAATAGCCCCCCCGCCCCCCCCCCCAACAACCAAAAACAAAACCAACTAACCTCAAAACCCAAACAAACAAACAAAAACAACCTGGAAGTGGAGTTGTGGCTCAAGTGGTAAAAACCTTGAGAACCAAAGCTCAGGGACAGCCCCTGTTAGGTTTTTAAAAAGAGGTAGCCAAGTAAGAACAGCACCACACACGTGGTATTCAGGTAAGGGGTAGGTTTATTCAGTAGACCTGCTGGGACCAGGCAAGGTTGGCCCTCCACATGGCTGGGAAAGGCCTGGGAAAGAGCGAGAGCTGGGAAAGAGAGAGGAAAGAGAAAGAAAAGAGCTAGAAAAGAGCAGAGAGAGCGCGTCTGGGCCTGGGCTAGGCCTTATCTAGGGTATGGGCAGAGAAAGGTGTGGCCACATCAAATTCAGAGGTGACCTCAGCAGATGCAGATGACCTCTTCCAGGTGTGTCAGTTGCCTAGGTAACTCAGGTACTGGGTGGAGACTTTGCTGCGAGGAGGGTGGAGTCTGCTAGCCATCCAGGAGCGGACCTTACACACACACACACACACACACACACACACACACACACACACACACACACACACACACACACACACACACACACACACACACACACACACACACACACACACACACACACACACACACACACACACACACACACACACACACACACACACACACACACACACCCCAAACCAACTCAGGGGTGCATATCCTTGCACTGTGTGACCGCGGCAAAGAATCCTTTCTCATTGTGCAGTAAGTGACCACACACCTTGGTGTCCACAGGGAGATAGATGGCTACACGTGACCCTTGCACAGGGAAATATGGCAAGGGAGGCGGTGACCCCATTTAAGGTAAGACCTCAAGGCCCTTAGACCAAACTCAAGACAGCTCTACCACAGGACACGTTTGTGGCTCTTCTGTCAACCCAGGCACCCCAGAGGGCTGTGGGTCGGTGGTGTTTCCTGAGCTAGAGGAACCACCAGCAATTCTGTTTCTCCAAGTCAGCAGTGTGACCAGGGACTTCACGGGTATGTGACAACTCCACTCAACGTCCACTCGCTGACCCCATCAGACCACTCAGTTCTTTGGTGCACGCTTTTGCTTTATCAGTTCTTTCATTTAATTGGAGTAACAACCACTGCTTAATTGAAATAATAAAGACTATAATGACCTCACTATCCAGTTGGGAGGAGGAATTAAGTGAATAATTACAAAAACAACACAAAAACTGATAAGGGTTTCAAACAGGCAAGTAGTTCAGGGATCCTGCCAGCGAGGTGCTCTGAGCAGGACGGGTGGAGGAGAAGCCACAGCCCCTGGAATTCCTGGAACCTGCTGGAAAGAGGGAGGGGCCCTGGGAATGCCTAAGGCTGGGTTCTATCCTCTGGTATTTTCAAGACTCAAGACAGACCAGACAGCAGATTGCAGATTTCAGAATTAAAAAGCTACAAAACACAAATATAAGCAAAACAAAATCCAAACTGACAGTACTCAACATTTTATTTGCCAAGAAAAGAGCAGCAGCTCACAATCAATCAATCTCTGTATACGTGTACATACATATATATATATATATATGTATATACACATACACACATAATTTAAGAAAGGTGGCTCTCACATGTTTGGATTTCATGGAAGAGTCTCAGTTAGAGAAAAGAAAGATACCCATAAAAGCCCAGAAAGAAAAAAAAAAAAATCTAGATTTTTACCACTTTCTCCACCCAACAATTAACATGACCTCAGATCACAGGACCATTCTTCAGCTGATCTAGCTTTATAAAAATAAATGACATCTATGAGACACCTGTTGTGAAAAATGGGGCTTGAACTCAGGGCCTTGAGCTCCCCCTTGGCTATTTTTGTTCAAGGCTGGCTCTCTACAACTTGAGCCACAGCTCTACTTCCAGCTTTGGGGTAGTTAATTGAAGATAAAAGTTACATGGATTTTTCTGCCCAAGTTTGCTTGAAACTATGACCCTCAGTTCTTAGCCTCCTGAGAAGCTAGGATTACAGGTATGAGCTACCAGTATTTGTGTTCGCCGATGTTAAGAATCCTTTGGTTTTAGACGAAGGAAACAGAACTCTCACATGAGGAGTTCTTAGCACAATTGTTAATATTTTGTATGTGAGTTACTTCTTCTAGCATTCTATTTATCCTAGATTACTAATAACTAATAGTAAGTTTCCATGCTGGGCAGACTGAGAAATCACTGATTGAGTCACACATATTCACTTCAGGGCAGAGCTAACTGGCTCCCCATCAGAGCTCAGAGCCTAAGTCAGGGAATGCTTGCATTGTGCTAAGATCTCTGAGCTGTTAGGATAACACTTTCCCCAAGCATTTGTTTACACTCTCTCTTCCCTTCCAATGAAGAAAATGTGCAAACTCCATTATCCCAAGTCTCTAACAAAGCATTCTTCCAATATAAAATGTCATAACAAATGTTTATTAAATTTCAAACAGTAAGCTGAGTATGCTGAATAAGGAACAGGCTTATATACTAAAATGTACTGCTCAGATATTTCAGCCTTAAATTGATATACAAGGCGTTAAGAAATTAAAGTTTCAATCCTTCATCTTCAAAGAAAATAGCTCCATACGGTATCTATGGTAACTGGGATCTAGACAGTAGAGTCTTTCACATGATAATGTTTAGACAGATCTCCTTCCTCCCTCCTCCTCCTCCTCCTCCTCCTCCATTCCTGGGGCTTGAACTCAGGACCTAGGTGCTGTCCCTGAGCCTCTTTGTGCTCAAGGCTAGTAATCTACCACTGGCACCTTGTTTCTCCTCTTTCTTAATTCTCCTTCTCTCTCCATACTTCTCTCTCTCTCTCTCTTTCTCTCTCTCTTTCCCCTCTCTTTCTGATCATTAGACTTGTAAAAAAGAAAATGCCACCCAAACTAAAACCAAAGAAAACGATGGGAATGCCAGTACTGGTACACACCTGACTTCGAAGGACAAAGTGGCTGGGCCAGGCTTCTTGGGCAAATCATGGTCAAGAACGCGGTGATCTAGCTGGAGCCAGTTCTGCTGACCTCTGTGGGAGCGAAGCAAAGCACAGGTTAAACCAGAAGGTTCAGTAAGGCACAGTGCAGGTGAAGCTCTGGGGGGGGGGGGGGGGGGGAGAGGAGGGCAACCCAGGGCAGCCTGGGGAAGGGAGGGGGCATGACGCCCCCCCACTAACCTGGGCCTATCTCTGCTAAGATGCACCTTGAAATTTCTTTCTTTCTTTCTTTCTTTTTTTTTTTTTTTTGTCGGTCGTGGGGCTTGAACTCTGGGCCTGGGCACTGTCCCTAAGCTCTTCAGTTCAAGGCGAGCGCTCTACCACTTGAGCTATAGCGCCACTTCCGGTTTTCTGGTGGTTTATTGGAGATAGGAGTCTCACGGTCTCTCCTGCCCGGGCTGGCTTTGAAACGCGATCCTCAGATCTCAGCCTCCTGAGTAGCTAGAATTATAGGTGTGAGCCACCAGCGCCCGGTTCACCTTGCAATTTCCATTTCCGGGAGTTCATGAAGGGAAGCTGTACCTTTGTAAAATGATCTATATATAAAGCTTTTCGCTATGATCTGTAAAAGCATAAAGCATAGAAATATCCCAAATGTTGTTCTGTGGGTACTACCAAAATAAATTTAAAATGGGACAGAAATATACAACAGTCATAAGATAGCCTAGAGAATGTACTTCAAAGTACTTTGGATAATTCATAACCTGCAATGTTAAATTTTTTAAAAAGTAAATTATAAGCCAGGTGCCAGTGGCTCATGCCTCTAATCCTAGCTACTCAGGAGGCTGAGATCTGAGGATTATGACTTGAAGCCAGCCCAGGCAGAAAAGTCCCCATGAGATTCTTATCACCAATTAACCATTCAAAAACCAGAATTGGTGCTGTGGCTCAAGTGGTAGAGTGCTAGCCTTGAGCACAAAAAAGCTCATGGACAGTGTCCAGACCCTGAGTTCATGCCCCACAAGCAACAACAACAAAACAAACAAAAAAGGTATAGTATATTGCCTCTGTGTATGTGTATGTGTGTGTGTGTGCATATGCTGGCCCTAGAGCTTGAAGTTAGCCTGGGCACTGTTCCTAAGCTTTCTGACTCAAGGCTGGTGCTCTACCATTTGAGTGACAGCTTTTGGTGGTTAATTGAAGATAAGAGTCTCACAGGCTTTACTGCCAGGGCTGGCTTTGAATAAAACTTCTCAGGTCTCAGCCTCCTAAGTAAATAAGATTACCAGCGTGAGTGAGCCAGTGGTGCCCAGCTGCTATTTTTTAATTAGAGAAAAGAACTGACATTTATGTTTAGGTATGTATAAGAAAGATCCGAGAGGATAAACAAGACACTGATAACACTGAGTTGGGATGTTAAAAAACAAACTAGGCGCAGTGGTTCACACCTGTAATCTCAGTGACTCAGGAGACCGAGATGGGGAAGACTGAGGCCAGGCTGGGCTAAAGTTCACAAGACTCCACATCAACAGAAAAAGTTGGGCATAGTGACATGTGCCTGTCATTCCAGCTACAATGGAAAGTGTAATATAGGAGGATCGTGGTCCCTGTTGGTTGGAGCAAAGAATGCAACACTATCTTAAGAATATCACTTTGGAAAGCAGTATGGAGGTTCCTCAAAAGACTCCACATAGAGCTCCCCTATGACCCAGCAATCCCACTTTTGGGCATTTACCCAAATGTTTACAAACAAGACCACACTAGAGCTACCAGCACAACTATGTTTATTGCAGCATTATTTACTATAGCTAAGATATGGAACCAACCCAGATGCCCCTCAGTAGATGAATGGATCAAGAAAATGTGGTATATATACACAATGGAATTCTATGCCTCCATCAGAAAGAATGACATTGCCCCATTTGTTAGGAAATGGAAAGGCTTGGAAAAAATTATATTAAGTGAAGTAAGCCAGGCCCAAAGAAACATAGGTCCCATGGTTTCCCTTATTTGCGATAACTAGTATCTGTCTGAGTCAAGCAGAAAAGGTCAGATAAGTTGATGTTAGGGAAATGAACCCTAAGATATGTATTCAAATGTTTCTTTTTCTTTCATGCAATTGTTTCTAACACATTTATAAGATTATTTCTTTGTTGCTTTGTATGTCCCTCCCCCACAGCATAACCCCTGTCACTGTATTTGATGTCCGTATAATTTTTGGAGGGGAAGGGGAAAAACAAGTTGTTTAAATATTAGGGATACAGGTGGACCCATTGCAACAATGAGATGTACAATGTTAAAAAACGGGAACTTTACAACTTTGGTGCAGGGTGGGGGGGAGGGGGGATGGGATGGGATGGGAAGGGGAAACAATGCTTGATAAGAAATGTACTCATTACCTTGCCCATGTAACTGTACAGTATTTTCACAATAAACAAAAGAATATCAGAGCAAAGAGGGCTGGAGGTGTGCCTCAAGCAACAGAGTACCCGCCTCGTAAGTGCAAAGCCTTTAATCTAAAACAAACAAACGAGGCAACATTAGATTAATATTTAAATTCATGTCCAATATGAAATGTGAAATATTTTAGTCAGAAAAGTAGTGCAATGAAATGGTTTATGAATGTATAACACAGATAACCATACTAGAAGGTACAGGGTCAAATGCTGTCTGGGTGTTATTTCTTGGGCCCACAGTAAAGACTTAACAAAATTTAAGTGTTGTCTCCTCTAGAGCCTCATTAAATTCATGGGTACAAACTGTTCTGTCTAGAATTTGACTTCTGAGGGCTCAAAAGTATGGCTAACTCTGGGTTGTTTACATGACTTTTGCAAGGTTGCCTATCCATTTTAGAGGCAATTTTAACTTACTCACCTACGATCCAACTTAAGAACTCGGTGAGGCTGAAGTGTCAAATTACAACAAGCTTTGTATTAGGCCATAAACCATTTTCTAATCTTTTATTTTTTTTTGGGGGGGGGGGGTTGAATTTAGGGCCTCAGGATCCTACTCAGCCTTTTTTTTCTTTCTTTTTCCTCAGACCTGGTGCTCTACCATTTGAGCCACACCACCCATCCAGCATTTTGCTGGTTAATTGGAGATAGAGTCATGCAGACTTTTCTGTCTAGGGCTTTTCTTTGAACCTTGATCTTCCAGGTCTCAGTCTCCTGAGAAACTACGATTACAGGCATGAACCATGAGCCCTAGGCCAAATCAAAAACTGTTCATGGACTTCATTACAAGTAGATAGGAAGAGTAGGCAAAAGATAGTGACAGAAATTGAACTATTCTTTGTTATTCAAACTAGACCTTTTATCTACTAACGTGAGATTATAAAGTAAATCTGGGGCAGAGTGATGCAGCTGCTTTCAATAAGGGTGAAAAATAAATGATAGAGTGTTGGCCAGGTTTCTTCTTCTTCTTTTTTTTTGGGTCAGTTGTGGGTCTTGAATTCTGAGCCTGGACGTTGTCCCTCAGCTCTTCAGCTCAAGGTTACACCACTTCCAGTTTCCTGGTGGTTTATTGGAGATAAGAATCTCACGGATTTTCCTGTCGGGACTGGCTTTGAACCGTGATCCTCAGATCTCAGCCTCCTGAGTAGCTAGGATTACAGGTGTGAGCCACCCGAGCTAGACTTGGCCAGCTTTTAGAACAACTTTAAGTTCAATCTCTATCACTTACTCTTTTCCACTTTCAACACTGGAAAAAGGGTCTTTGTTTCTATCATGACAAGAAAAGATTACTAATAACTTCCCCAGATTTCTTGGGAGGAATCTTATAAGGATCAATAATCAGATGAGTAGAGCGAAGTTTAACTTCCAAATGTTGCTGTTATATATGTGTGAAGAACAAAGGGGAAGGCTGAAGTTAAGGGATGGGTGCACTGCATTTCATCAAATTTAGGGTTCCCCTGACTTAAAGACAGCTCGGTTTTACCGCTGTTCAAAGTATGTGCTAAAATATGTAAAATATTCTATCAAGTCTTAAAAGTTTTTCTGTATGGCACATAAGACTCACTCGGCGCTGTCCATGATTGTATTATTGCAGGGGAAAGATAGCATCCATGAGAAGTCAGTTTATATGCACTTGCATGGAACATCTGTAAGAATGAATGTTGCAAGAACGTTGTGGAATACCACACACAGCACATCCCAGTTAGGTTGGCCAGAGAGCACAGTCAATGCGCTAGTAAGTACAGATGTGTTTTAGATTTGGCCCAAAGTCACCGTTGCTGCAAATTCTGTCTTTCTTCATCAATAAAGCTTGCTCAGTGATGCCTTTCCATAGGAAGGGGAAAAATGAACTTGAGGGGAGGAGGAAGCTGGTGGTGGGGGTGGTGGTGGGGAGAAGGATGGGCCCCTGACATAGGAGGGTGGAGACTGCCCTCTAGGGGCAGACACTAGCACTGCATGCAGAAGTGGTAAAGGTTAGATCCTGTTACTGGTATGGTTGTGATCCTCAGTTATTTGGTCCTTCCTGGTCTTAGCAAGGCTGGAATGGCATTCCCCCCCCCCCCGCCCCCCCCCCCCCCCCCCCCCCCCCCCCCCCCCCGTCTCCCCGCTTCCCACATTGGTAATCATCAGGACTTTCATTATGTAACTGCAGTCTAGTGGTCCACTTCTTTTCTTGCTCAGAGGACGGGAGTGTAAACAGTAGTGAGTTTCATTGACAAAATATTCCCTTTGCCTTTCTCTATTTACCGAAGTTCACCCAGGGCACAGGCTGATGTGGCACATGGGCTGGAAAATGCAAGTAAGTGGAGAGTGTGTGTGTGTGTGTGTGTGTGTGTGTGTGTGTGTGTGGTTATGCAGAAACATTTCTAAAAATATTTACCAGACAAGGAAAAAGCACTAGGCTCGTGCCAAAGACATTCCAAGGCGACACCCTCAGACAGAAGCAATTTTCCAGGCCTGTGCTTGAGAAAGGTGGAAATGGCCAGTTCCTCCATTCCAACGCCTCTCTCCACTGCCCAGCCCCACTCATCCATTTTCTGAAAATACATGCAGCCAATGCCACGAGGCGTTGAAATAGACACTGCTGCCAAGTGAAGGGGAACACGCGGGGGACACGTGGGACCCAGCGGAAGCTGGGGAGCTTAGGCTGCTGGAGCCTGGGCAGATACCTGAAGAGGGGGTGGATGAGCCATTTGTCCACCAATGGGGTTTTAGAAAGAAATTCCAGGGCAGGCAAGGGGTGGGGGAGGGGGTGGTAGGTGAGTAGTGGGGGAGGGGAGGCAGGCTTTGAAAGGAAGTCATTGACTTATCATGTTCTTTTCCTTCTGAAGAGGGGCTTGATGCACTCCCTGTCTGGAGGGGGTTCAAGGTTCAACAAAGCTTAGGCTTTGCCCAGATAACCTCCAGGGGGCCAGTACTCTCTTTTCCAGCCTGTCCTGAACTTTGTAACCTGAGGAACCCAGGTCACTAAAGCCTTAAGTTCTGTTCTGCCTCCATGTGACATCCTTTGGTGGTCTAGGGTACCCTCTCCATCTCAAGGTGTGTCTTACTTGATGTACCAACAGTCTGGAAGCCCATGCCCCTATTCTAGTACCTGATATGGTATTTACTATACAGACAGGTACTATGATTATGTTCATAGCACTGATAAGAAAATGTGAGTGCTGGAATTGCACATAACTGTCCTAAAACCATACAGCCACCAGGATTCTATGACACCTGCCCCTGCTTTCCTCTCATCCTGATTTTGTAGTGTTTTTATAACTTTCTATAATGCAGCCACATGGTTATTTTCCTTTTTGTTCGTTGTGGGGCTTAAACTCAGGGCCTGAGTGTTGTCCCTGAGCAATTTTGCTTAAGGCTAGTGCTCTACCACTTTGTTTTTTTTTTTTTTTTTTTTGGGGTCCAGTCATGGGCCCTGAACTCTGGGCCTGGGCACTGTCACTCAGCTCTTCAGCTCAAGGCTAGCACTCTATCACTTGAGCCACAGTGCCTCTTCTGGTTTTCGAGTGGTTAATTGGAGATAAGAGTCTCATGAGGGACTTTTCTGCCTGGGCTGGCTTTGAACCACAATTCTCAGATCTCAGCCTTCTGAGTAGCTAGGATTGCTAGTGATTGCTGGTGAGCCACTGGCGCCTGGCTAGTTATTTTCTTTTTATAAGCAAACAACAAAAGTCAAGTTAAGTTCTACCTGATGAGCTCTCCATCAGCATTGACTCCATTAGGACTGACTCTCCAAACTTTTTGCAGAGCTCGCCCTGGAAGCCATCCTGGCTCACCCTGCCTAACACTGCGCCCACCCAACTAGCTTTTCTTCATATGATCACGCACTTCCAGTATTTTCTCATTTTGTTTGCTATGCTGTGCTAGACAATACCATTGCAACATGGAACGAGGAAGAGCAAGGATCTTGTCTATGTTGTTTAAAGATGAAATGCTGGGACCTATAACGGCTTCTGGCATTTAGTGGGCACTCAGGGGATATTTTTGGACAAATAAAATTACTCCATTATTCATGCTTTTAGTCTCAACTCTATGTGACCTCCTAAATTATAGTGATTATAGCAATTTGAGTTTATACCATATAACTTAGCCATTATGCATTTATAGTTTGATGTTATGTATTGCTTGCTATTCTTTGATTTATATCCAGATTCCCCTTGTGTGTGTGTGTGTGTGTGTGTGTGTGTGTGTGTGTGTGTGTGTGTGTGTGTGTGTGTGTTTGTTTCATAAGAACTGGCTGTGGCTGCTTTCTGGCCAGAACTTGTGGCCCATGGATACCTGCATTTCCTTTTCTGTCCAGCAGAGGGCAGATAAAGGAGTCTCTCAAAGAGTCCAAGTGATTCAGAGCTAGGTAGAATGCCCAGTGTATTTTTTGCCTTCTCTGTTCAGCTGTTGAAAGCATCCAGAGTCTAGACTATCCCTGGGTTTTTCTACAATTCCTGACAGCTTCTTGAGTTTTACCCAGCTCAAGCCTTAAGGGTTTTGTCCAGCCAGCCTGGAGGTCCAAGGCTATAGTTTACTCAGGTGAAAAATCATTGTAAGTCACAAAGTGTTTTAAAAAAAATCCTTCTTGAGATTATTTTCCACCTGGTTGAACTAAAGGATTGGAAAAAAAATCTCACTCAAACTGAAAGAGCTATGGAAAGAATGTTGGATGGTTGGCCAATATGTTTTGTGTCTGGAAAATATTTTCTTGAATTTTAATATTTAAGGAAGTTTAACATTTCAGAAGTTTTCTCCAGAAAGGGAAAATAATTTCTTTAATGGAAGTAAGCTACATATAATGTATGTACATAAAACATACAGACACCTATATGCATATACACACATGGAAAGAGAGAAGAACTAATAATTCCAAACATATTCACTTACATAGTTTTAAATGATCATTTATTTATTCTTATATTAATTCTTATATTATATATTCTTATATTTATTCTTATATACTGTACCTACTTCATTTCAGAAAATAGTTACCTTGTTGACAAATAAACACACAATACTCTACTGCAAATTAGCACAAAAATGGAAATAAAAGAAAGCAAAATGAAAGGTTAAAGGCAATACAAATTGGACCTAAGTTGAAGTTATAAAGTTCATTCCATACTAACTGATGTGTCTTTTACATGGACCAGAGATTTATCCTGGAACTTTCTTGCCACCAATCCCAAATCATGAATTCAGTTTCAAGATATGAACAACAATTTTTTTTTTGTTGGTCATGGGGCCTGAACTCTGGTCCTGGGCGCTGTCCCTCAGCTCTTCAGCTCAAGGCGAGCGTTCTACCATTTGAGCCACTGCACCACTTCTGGTTTTCTTAGTGGTTTATTGGAGATAAGAGTCTCTGCCTGGGTTGGCTTTGAATTGGGAGCCTCAGATCTCAGCCTCCTGAGTAGCTAGGATTACAAGTGTGAGCCACTGGCGCCTAGCTTACAAATATATATATATATATATATATATAAAATTATCATTGACACATGCATGAAGTCCGCAAGCAGGTAAAGACAGACTACAATTAAGAGAAACAAATTCTAAAACATGAAGAATAACATTTTGAGTTATTTATTTATTTTTATTTATTTTTTTTGTCGGTCGTGGGGCCTGAACTCTGGGCCTGGGCACTGTCCCTCAGCCCTTCAGCTCAAGGCTAGCACTCTAGTACTTGAGCCACAGCACTACTTCTGGCTTTTTCTGCTTATGTGGTGCTGAGGAATCCAACCCAGGGCCTCATGCATGCAAAGCAAGCATTCTACCACTGAGCCACCTTCCCAGCTCTGACATTTTGAGTTATTTAAACGGTCAGAATTTCTTTTCCTCTTCCTTTTGCAGTACAGGAAAAGTGTCTTGTACTGAGAAACTATGAACTAATAAGCAGGACACACTCAGATTGCTGAAGTACTTTTTTCCCCTTTTTTGGTCAATTATGAAAAGCAACAAGCAGGGAATTTCGGCAAAAGGCAAAGAAGTAAAAACTATGAAAACTTACGTGTCATCTATAAATGTTATCCCAAAGTACTCCTTTTCCTTCAGGTTGAAATGTGAAGCCACGAGGTCCAGCAACTCTCTTGACAAAAGTTTGGGCTGTCAAAATAAAACCCTGATTAACAGTGATGTGGCTGAGGCTCTCATATTTCTATGCTCTTCCACCCTCAATAGTTTATAGCGGCTCTGTTTTGTTTGTTTTTACACAAACAACTCTTAAGACTACTCTCTAGGAGTTTCGGGGAAGGAGAAGAGATAGGAACAGGAGTGTCAACAAGATATTTTCACTTTCACGTATTTATACTTCCATTTTCCTTCTAAGGTAACCCTGTGCTTACTAAGATGTGGCCAAGGAAAGAATATTAGCTAGCTCACTGCCTAATGATCTATGAAACTCTTAAAGATTATGGGAATCATTTTGGTGGGTGGTATCCAGTTGAGAGGCCCAAAGCAGGAGGACTGGAGCTAGATCGAACTATAGTAATTAGTTATTTAAATGGTCAGAATTTACTATGCTAATCTCCTGTCTGTTAGCTCACCAAATCCTTACAATGAGTCTATGCAGTGGAGCTTTATGTTTCCACCTTAAAGCACCAACCAAGGTGACATCAAGGGCTGGCGTGTTATTACACCGTTCATTGGGGCAATCATTGGAACCTAGTTCCGAGGACTTCAGAATTCCGTGCTGTCCATTTCTCCCTAAGGTTGCATCATGGTACCTGTTCCATCGACAGTATGTAGGATCTATGTTGATCTAGGAGCTTGGGGGAAGCTCTGGGATGGGTGGGAAGTGTGACTTAGAACCTGCCAGAATGTCTAGAGGGAGAAAGGACAGGGGATTTGCTAGGAGCGAGGAAGAAGAGGGGGACTGAAGGTGGGTATCGGACATGGATTCCTCCTAAAGTGAATCTAACAATTGAGGATACAGGGTGGAGGTTGGCTACTGGAGGAGGGAGAGGGAGGGAAGAAAGAAAACAAGAAGGAAAAGAAAAAGAGACAAGTAGCAGGCAGAACAGGGCTAAAAGGTGTCCTCTTGTGGAACTCCTGGGGCCCTTTCTATTTTCATTCTAATTGAGGCCTAGGCTTAGTGGACCAGGGACAAGTCTCTGAAGGAAAAAGAATACAGGTTGGCCTCCAAGTAAAGTCTAGCCTGGTGTGGTTTGTCTGTAGGAATTGCCATTTCTGAAGACACTTGGTTTGGGGTATTGGGGGTGGGGGGTAATAGAAAATCAAGCACCAAGAGCTAAATTGCTGTCATTCTTCAAGTCCTACAGATTTGACAACGGAACGGCACTCACAAATACAATCCTTCTCCGTAAGACCAAGGATGCTTACTTAGTCCCCATTCTGTGTGAGTAGGAGTTTAACCTGCACAAGGTCATGCAGCAGGAAAGTGATAGAATGCAGGGTCTAACCTCATAGTAACACGCTTTTCTAACCTGTTTTACCCAGGAGAGACCCAGGATGGGCAGGGCCTACCTGAACAAGCAGCTCCAGTCTCCTCTCATCTGGGAGGTGCACCTGGCAGTGCCTGCCTTCTGTCATCTGTGGGGACAAGACGGGAGCAGTGTCAGGGCAGGGCTGCCAGCAGACCCTCAGACTCACTTTGTTATTATTCTCTATGTAATGTGTTCGGCCTAAAAATGGCATAGCAAGAATTGAGAGACTCACTGGTATTAAAAGAAGAACAGAGCCAAAAGTGAAGCAATCAGTACATTGACAATAAAATAAAATAAAGCCGATACAGAATGCCAAGTTCAAGCAATCAATGCCCACTAGATTAGGAAAAAATAGTTTCCTACCAGAAAATCAGAATAAAAAGCATCATGTTTTCCTTTGAAATAGTATTTAAGAAATACATTTTCACATTCAATGTTTTACCTTAATACTAATATATTAGATAAATGGGTGTGCAAATAAACTGTTAATATTTTTTTTGTGCAGGTTGACCATCCAGAAATGCAATGTACACATACACGTGTGTGTGTATGCCTGTGTGCAATGTGTGTGTATGTGTATTTTTTCAATTCAAGCAGGACTATGCACCATTCACCATTTTGCTTCCTGTATATTTATTTCAGGATTTCTTGGAGATCTTCTGCATGCCAGTGCATACTGATGGAGCTCATTCCTTCAGAGGTTCTAGAGCATCAGCCTAGACAGTCCTATGGCTGCACCATCATGCAGTGAGTCAGCTGCTAAGAAACACCTAGGTTGTATCTAGTGCTGTTCACTGGTGAGCAGCAGTATTCTGAACTCTGAACTTCCCACATGTAGCTCCTCCCATGCTGTGGCCTGGTGGGTGGGGTCATGCAAGGCTGGACCAAGCTCAGACATCTAAAAACCCAATGCAAACAGAAAAAGGACGTGTGGTCGAATGTGTACCTGGGAGACCAAAGTAGGAGGATCACTTTAGCCCAAGAGCCAGAGAGTCGTCATAGTTATGATGCTACAGAGTCAGTCCAGCACCTAGAGAGGCTGTAGGCCATGAGGGGTGGCCAGGCATCCCCTGAGCCCTGTTCTGTGTGGAATTCAGGGATGGTTTGATTGTCACCAGCAACAGAAAACCTGCCCTTGTCACGTATGCAAACCAGAGGTTGAAAAGTGGTGGATGTATTTTGTTCATTAAGCAACACCTAGGAATAAATTGTAGTTGAAAATATTAGAAACCAGGAGATGCCACATAATAGAAATTTAGATAAAGAGCTTTTTTATTTTGGGGGGAGTGAGACCCCAGATTGCGGGGCTTGATTTTCTCCGTAGCAGCATTTGACCCCACTCTGGTCTCTGGACCCAGGCTGTCCTGCTACCTGAGCTAATAAGTACCAGCTTGGAAACTACCAGCAGCTAAACTTTTCTGTAATCTGCATGCTCTCATTAAAACAAACAACACAAAAGGCATTTTTATAGGTAGGATACAACTCATTGTAAACAAGACAAAATGACAGGCCAGGTGACAAGCTGATTAACTAACACACAGCAGAAAACTTCTCCAGAGCTGATGAAATAGGGGGGCGGGGAGGGGGAGAGGAGAAATTGCTGCTTCCGCAACCCTCCATGTTTCTAGTGCTATTTTGGATACATTTTTGTTGTTGTTGTTCATGGGGCTTGAACTCTGGATCTGGGCGCTGTCCCTCAGCTCTTCAGCTCAAGGCTAGCGCTCTACCACTTGAGCCGTAGTATCACTTCTGGCTTTTCTGTTTATGTGGTACTGAGGAATCAAACCCAGAGCCTCATGCATGTGAGACAAGCACTCTACCACTGAGCCACCTTCCCAGCCCCTATTTTGGACATTTTAATAACATCAGTAACACCATTCACAAGCACTCCCTGTAATCCATGACTGCTCATTGCACTTGTAAAGAACTACAGGAAGGCATCGACATCCCCTCATCTGAGATGTGGGGAGACTAAGGGACCAATATTGCCCAAAGCTATACGAGTTAACCAGACCTGGGCTTGAAACTAACAACTCTGTCTTGTGGACCATAGCAAAAATGATGTGCACCAAGTTACTGAGCTAATAAATACCATCTAATTCAAGCAAACCTTTTCATAAAATGTTCAGTTAAAAAAATTTTTTTTTTATTGAAATCATCTTAAAGAGCTGGGCACCAGTGTGGCTCACGCCTGTAATCCTGGCTGTTCAAAGGCTGAAATCTGAGGATCATGTTTCAAAGCCAGCTCCAGGCAGAAAAGTCTGGGAGACTGTTATCTCCAATTAATGCCCCCACCTTTCCCCTGCCTCCTGCAAGGGAAAAAAAAAAAACAAACCAAACTGGAAGTAAAGCAGTGTTTCAAGTGGTAGAGTGCTATCCTTGAGCAAAAAAGAAAAGGAAATGAAAGGAAAGGAAAGGAAAGGAAAGAAAAGCAGGCAGGAAGAAAGAAAAGAAAGAAAGAAAGAAAGAAAGAAAGAAAGAAAGAAAGAAAGAAAGAAAGAAAGAAAGAAAGAAAGAAAGAAAGGGGGAGAAAGAGGGAGAGAGAGGGAGAGAGAGAGAGGGAGAGAGAGAAAGGAAGGAAGGAAGAAAGAAATCAAGCAAGCAAGCAAGGAAGGAAGGAAAGAGAGAAAGAGAGAGAGAGAGAGAGAGAGAGAGAGAACGAAGCTCAGGGGCAGTATCTAGGCCTTGAGTTTAAGCTCTAGGGTGATACCAAAGCCAAAAACACAAAACCCCATGACTTTCAGGCAGACAAATCCTAAAGATTCTTATTTCCAATAAACCAGCAAAAAAAGTGCAGGTGTAGCTCAAGTGCCAGAGCATAAACTGTGTATAGAAACAAAGCCAGCCAGGTGCCAGTGGCTCACGCCTGTAATCCTAGCTATTAAAGAGGCAGAGATCTAAGGATCACGGTTCAAAGCCAGCCCGGGCAGGAAAGGCTGTGAAACTCTTATCTCCAATAAACCACCATAAAAGTGGAAGTGGTGCTGTGTTTCAAGTGGTAGCGTGCTTGCTTTGAGCTGAATTGCTGAAGGACAGTACCCAGGCCCAGAGTTCAAGCCCCAGGACTGACCAAAAAGAAAAACAAAACAAAACAAAAAGACCAACATCAAAAACCAAAGCCAAGCAAGAGCACAAGGCCCAGCGTTCAAGCCCCAGTACCAGCACAAACCAAAACAAAAACCCTCTCACCCATACCTAGTCTAGTTCCATACCAGAGGTTCTAGTCCCATACCAGAGGTTCTTCTACTCAAGGGTGTTACCATGATTACAGGTCCAAACACAACATGACTTTTGAGTCCCACAGAAACCACAGCACATTTCACCCCCCCCCCCCCATCCCTTCCCAGTACCAGCTAACAGCAGCAACACCTCCATGAAACATTTAAAAACGACCTGGTGGGAAAGCTGATCGTACACACCTTCTGCCAGCACTTTTCCAGGATGGCGGCTGCATGGGGTTCGAGCCCTCACCTCTGTCAGGGTCTTCCCTGGGCTCTTTCTCCCCAGCTTACCACAACAGGTCCTCTGAGGGCCAGTACTGAGGGCGGCGGGGACAACTGTGTCCAGCTGGTGGTCAGCAGTCCAATGAGGAAGTGTTACAGGGAAGTGACAGTTGGGTCCCCAGAGCTCTTAGATGCAGTGGGGTTCAAGTCTGCACCCTAACCCCTGCCCCCAGCCCAAATCCTATCGCCTGACTTAGAAGAAGAGGAGAGATCGAGTCGGTGAGAAACCCAAAGGCATTACATTTCTGAGGGGGTCTGGAACCTCCCTAAGAGTAACAGCAGTCAGGTGAACAACAACTACAAATAAAGACTGAAGCCCTGGCTTCAAGTCTGTCTTGGGAAGAAAGCAGGGAGCTTTAATTCCTTTTTATGGCTAGTCCTGGGGCTTGAACTCAGGACCTGGGCACTGTCCCTGAACTTCTCTGTGCTCAAGGCTAGCACTCTACCACTTGATCCACAGCACCACTTGCAGATTTTTCTGTGTATGTGATACTGAGGAATCGAACCCAGGGCTTCATGCATGCTAGGCAAGCACTCTACCACTAAGCCACTTTCCCAGCCCCTTTAGGTCCTTTTTATCTGCCCCATTCCCCTTTAACTTTCCTGGAGACTTAGCACAAGAGGGCTCCAAAAAGTGACTTCTCCAGACTTTCTGGGCTGAGACCTCTCACCCGCCATGTGCCCACGTGCGCCTGCGCAAAGCCAGGTCTCCACCCAGGTCCGCACTTCCCAGGGAGTCCGACTGCGGTCCCCTCCCTGCGTGGCCTGGCAGAATGACGCCTTCCAGACACAGAAGGAGGGCCTTTCCCTGTCCTGCTCGGGATCCCCCAGTCACAGAACTCACCCCTCTCCCTCCTGGCTGACGGTGACCCCCATGACCCCCCTGATTTTACTTCTTCTGCTTTGCCCTTCGCACAGCTGGCGCACTGGCTGCCTCTTCTTCCTCAAAATTAAACTGAGTTCCTATTTTGGGGACTTTACATATGCCGTCCCTTCTGCCTGCTCTCCCCCCACCCCCTCACATTGCTGCGTGTGGTTAGGTTCCTCCAGCTCTTTCAGATTCCAAATCCAATGTCACCATTCTAGGGGAAATTTCCCTGACCTAAGGGGAAGATGATGATGGAATTCATCCTAAAGTGGATGTGATTCTGGCACCCTGCCCCGGCATATTGCTTGCTTCGGTGAGAGTAATAGTCTTCATTTGAGTTAAATGCTTATCGGCCTCTGTCTCAACCATGAGAAAGTAATTCTGCAGGACAAGAGGCCTTGATCGCTGGCCACCCCCAGAACTTCTTGGTAGGAACAGGTTCTGCAAATATCCGCCCTGAAGGAATGCCTTTGCAGTTTTGAATCTGGAAGTACTTAGCACTGAAACACACACACCCCGGTGATTTCAATTACAGCCCATGGTCCAAAGAGAGTCTGTCCCAAAGCCCAGAAAAAAACACAAACAAACCCAAGGTATCCACCCAGAGAACAAGGTGAGCTATTAAAGTCCTCATCAGATGTGGTGTGCTGCAGGAACTGGATGGAGCTGGGATGTATCTAGGCCGGCTTCACTTAGGGATCTATTGAGTGGATGGTTTTATATTTCCCTCAAATG